GGAATGAAGGATGTTTAAGTCAATTCTATCAACATGAGCAATTATTAAAGGGACAGATAAGTTGAGTGTCCCAAATGTTTCTAAGAATGCATATCCCAAAAACTGGACTGCTCAAAAAATAATAATAATAAAGCTCCAAGTTATCTATATATGTTTTCTGTGTAGTTACAGCAGCCAAAAAAAAAAGTTGTAATATACTTTTTAATACATGTGTGAGAGAGGAAATGGCAGAACTTTGTTTAGTGTTTTATCTGGATGCTCAAGAGCAGTGTAGTAGAATCCTGGAATGCTCACCCTCCATTTTATACCATCTTTGTTTCCCAGACAGCAAGTGATACACTGATGCAAGACCTAAAAGAAGTTTCAGGAGAGACTGCTAGGGTAACAAGACACTATAGTATACAACCAAAGCTAAGAAATTGGTTATTTGTGGAGGTGACATCAGTTTCTGGACTTACCAAACTCTGCCTGAGAAAAGAATAAGTTCAATGTGTACTGCAGAGACACCTGTTACTGTCTTCTCATATTAGACAGGATGACTTTAGAAGGGATTGAAGCTATTGCTCAATTTGGTTTGAAAAAAAAAAAAAGTCATTGTTTTCCAAATATCTTAAAGAGGGTATCTCCATTCCTAACTCAAAAATCCAAAGAGATCCTTCTCTCATTTCATTTTACACATATAAAGATACTAGTACTTCAATGGTTCATTCAATAAACAATTTCACTAAAGCAGGAAATTAACATTAATTGAGCAATTATTTTGCCAAGCACTGTGCTATATCTATTCGTCATCTCATTTAATTTGCACAATGATATGAGATATCGTCTCTACTTTAGTATGGTCTAAATTAGCTCTGCCTAAACACTGCCCCTAATGGACATGAAGAATTTAGAAACCAAGTTCCAGGAAAGGAATCCACACAAAATAGAACCAACCTACCATCTGCCACTGGGCTGAGGCCTATATAGAGTTGCTCGTTTTAACACCTACCTTACCCCCAAGGTCTCTTGCCCAATATTTCGCATTAATAGAGACATCAAGAGAAATGTTTGTCACTGCTATTCTTGCCCAAGGCTTTTTTTTGCTTCTGTGAAAATAGAAACACCATGAATTACATGCTCAAACATGTCCAGATTCTTGGCAAAGCAACTGAAAAATCTGGGGGGTCAAATTGGTGGTAGAGTAACTACCAAATACTTTATAGCTGCATTTTATAAACCATGAAAGAGTGTCTAATGGACATCCGAAAGTCAGAACAGATTTTACAAGTCTGTCCTATGACCACAGTATAGCAACCTCACAAATCAAACATTCTCTACATATCAACGTAATTTAAGCAGCCCGTAGGTTCTGCCACAGTTGAAAAGAAAAAAAATGTTACCTAGATTCAGAATCAGCGATCTAGTCAGAAATAGCAAATTTATGTAGACCAAAATTTGACTCACATGTTTCATCCTTAAAGCGGAGACATAATAGCTTGCACAAATGTTGCAAGGATCAAATGAGATAATTTGTGGGGAAACACCCCTTGTCCAAGTAACACTCAATGTGCATGGGTGGGATTTCAATGTGAGGGTATGCAGAGAGTAGGGCTAGCAATCATCACCTAGGATCAATTATTTTTCATATTTATAAGGCTGGGCTTCTCTGGTGGCTCAGATAGTAAAGAATCTGCCTGCAGTACAGAAGGCCTGGGTTAGATCACTAGGTTGGGAAGATGCCCTGAAGAAGGGAATCGCTACCCGCTTCGGTGTGGTTGCCTGGAGAATTCTGTGGACAGAGGAGCCCGGCAGTTTACAGTCCATAGGGTCACAACGAGTCAGAAACTTTAACTTACACTTTTTCAGAGATAAGTAAGAATCAGTTCATCCTCAAGCAAACGGTTACAACCACAAAGCACTTCATATACCTCTGTAACCTAACTTTTATTCTTCTGTAGAGGATTATGATGGTTGGTAAAATTCCAAGAGCTATTACTGTGTGATGAAAGCACAAGGAACTGACTGTAAAGACAGCCTGCTCCACAGAATCGATGTTCCTTTCATACATAAAGCATTTTTATTGCTTTCAATATAGAGACTTTCTGCTGCAGAGTGGCTTAAATTTATATGCTTATGCTAAGCATGGAAATAAGAATCTGTTTTTAGATATAGCTTTGTGTTATCTTTCCCCTCTCAATTTCTACCTTCTTATATTTTAGTCACTCATACCCTAGAGTGTACAATAAAGGTAACAGACAACAGTCTTAGAGGCAAACCTAACCAAATGGTTTAACTAATGGTAAATTAGTTAAAACTAATTTAATTAACAAACTCAATCAGATCCTTCACCCAAAAAACAAGCCCTCGTTTAAATGCTTTCAGCTGTACTGCTGGGAACATTCTCTCTAGTCATGAAGTGGTAAAACAATACTATAGGGACTTCCCTGATGGTCCAGTGGTTAAGACTTTGCCTTCCAATGCAGGTCATATGGGTTTCACCCCTGGTCAGGGAGCTAAGATCTTGCGTGCCTCATGGCCAAAGAAACAAAATATAAAACAGAAGCATTATTATAATAAATCCAGTAAAGACTTTTAAAATGTTCCACATCAAAAACTCTTTTAAAAAAAAAGAAAAAGTCATGCTATATTTTAGGGTGGGAAAGTTGGGGGTATCATAACCCCTGAAGCAGAAGTCAGCCTCCCAACCGACTAATTCATTAACGCTCAGTGAAGATGAAATAGTCTCACTGGATTAAATAACTAAATAGACTTAATTTCTAATACATGTCAATGGGATTAAAGCTATAAAAATTCAAATGCATCTTGCAATACGTTAACAGAAGAATTATCTGGATAACTTCCAGAGGTGCTATGAATCCTGTGAAGAATGATCCACAAGTCAGGGAAGACCATTAATGTTCCCAAAGGAAAAAAAAATTGTCAATACAAAAAAGTAGAATTCACGATCCACACTATTGATGGGTGAATAAGAATCTGAACACACACTCACTCTTTTATTTTCAAAACATGTTAACTCCTTAATTTCAGCTGTCTCCTATGATAATAAAATAGCTTTGAGGTAACAGTAAAATAAAGGATAAAGTTGTGACTGGGAAAAAAAATAGAGTTATTATTTTGCAATCCCAACTACACCACGAGTAGCACACACATAGGCCTCTGGAAGGACAGACCCTAAGCAAGGGTGGTTGTATGTCATGTGAGCAAGCCAGGCTGGAAAGCAGGGGAACGGCTGAGCTGTCCTCCACGATGAGAAGAGAGGTTGGGGGTGTGGTTGTATCTCAGGAATCAGGAGAGCTGGGATGAAGACCCCACACGGGGACGGGAGAGGAAGGAGGTACTGTAGGTCACAGCTGCAGAAGACATTTCAGAGGAGAATGGAGCTGTCTTTTGACAGCTGTGTGGTCATAACCTCCCACCTCCTGGACCACCTTCAGGAATCTCCACATCACTGATATGGCTCTGTTTGCAGGCTTTCTATCGGAGGGCTGGGATGATGCCCAGGACTGTGCAGAGATGAGGTAAGGGCTCCTCCAGGAGGTCGGATCACACCTGATGTTGTCAACACTTGTTGGGTCAGCACCATGTCTAGTGGTGGGGACATGTCATGGGTACATTTTCAGGGCACCACCCCAGCAGCGGAGCACCACTCTTCAGACCCAACCTAGGTGCTTCCAGATTACAAAAAAAAAGGACCCTATCTCGGGTTACACAGGGCTCATTCTTGGTTCTTCCTACCTCTGTCAAGGGCTGTTCCGGTCCAGGTGTCCCAAATTCAAAAGATATTAGGATACCAGGCACATCCACACGTGGGAAAACTACCCAGTATAAGTNCTTGGTTCTTCCCATCTCTGTCAAGGGCTGTTCCGGTCCAGGTGTCCCAAATTCAAAAGATATTAGGATACCAGGCACATCCACACGTGGGAAAACTACCCAGTATAAGTCAAGAAGAAATATCAGCTGGGAACCAACTGGAGGTGGTAGACCCCCTTCCCTCGTGAAAGATTTCAGAATTGGTATTTAGAGAAAAAAAAAGTGGTGACTAAACAAATATCTGTAATGGGATTCAAGATCCCTGCTAGACTGGTCTAAATGTGACTGCAAAGTGAAGTACTCAAGAGGACATCTGACCCAAGGCCAGTATCCAGTATTTTCAGCAGAACCTCTTCCTAAAGTCATCTTTCTGAAATCATTATACATCATCTGAAGAAAATTAATGTGTCAAAAATTAGCTCCTTCCAAATAATTCTGCTGTATTAAAAGAGGATATCTTTGATAGATCATCCATAAATTATGCATACAAAATATCGGGGTGGCCAAAAAGTTCATTAGTGTTTTCCATAAGTACATAAAGTATTCAGAAGATTTAACTTAAAATAATTACAGAATTCTCAGAGAACTGGGGAGGGGATAAGGGTGGAGTAGAGAAAGGAAGATTATTCTGAATCTTGCCACACATGGCAAGTCTCCCCTGTAGTTTATCACTAAATCACCAACCCACCATGGGCCAAAACTGCAATGGCCTAGAAACATCCACAGGCAAGGAGAGCAGGAACCAGACCATCCCCACGCCCCAAAACTCCTTCAAAGGAGGAGCTTGCTATAACAACTTGGGGGGTGGGGGGAAAGGGTGGGAGCTGGGAGGGAGGTTTGCGAGGGAGGGGACATGTGTACACCTGTGGCTAACTCATGCTGATATATGGCAGAAATGAAACCAACATTGTAAAGCAATTATCCTTCAGTTCAAATAAATAATTTTTTTTTAATGTAGGAATTGTTTATACCCTGAGTTCTTAATATTCTTATGTGATAGCCAGATAAACAGACAGGGACATTACCTGAGAGTTCGTGACCATGGAGTCCTAGAAATTAAGACCTTGATCATGTGAAATCTCCACTCTGTCTACAAATCAGTCTTTCCCAATTAGATGACTTTTCCATTCACTGTATTTTATGAAACTAAGGAGGAAAAGTGAAAGACTCTATAGAAAAATGCTTACCTGTAGTTGCTGCTCTAATTCTGGAAAGGCCAGAGGAATGGCATCTTCAGGTGGTGTATCATCTAAAACATGAAAATAAAAACTCTTCACCATGAGAGCCCTTTCTCTGGGGAGAGTTGTCCTGCTCTTGCCATCTTTGGACCTGTATACATTAGTAAAGGACAGAAAGAATGCAGAAGGCAATTTTGCTCATTTTTGGTACACTGTGCTCTCTCTGTCCCAAAATTTTGCAAGCACAATCCTCAAATGCTCAGTCTGGTAGTTCTCCAGTGAAGAAACACTGCTTGTCTTTCAATACTCTGACGTTAGCCAAAACCAAAAAATATGATATGCAGGAAAGTGCTTTATTTAACAAGGTGATAATGAGGTGGCCAGGACAACCTCAATAGAACAGAAGAACGTGTGAGTGAAAAAGAGAAGTGTTACTTCTGTCCTGAAAGACTCCAAGGGCAGCCAGCTTTGATGGGTTTGCCCTCTGCGCTTACCACAAACCACCACTGCCAGGCAGGTGACCAGAGCTCCGTCGTCTAGGTTACAGGCGGCCACCCGATCAGGGTGTCCCAGGGCAGCAATGCCAACCTGACGTCCAACCCGCTGCCCTGATGCAGAAGAGCCCACAACTCTGCCCTCAGCTGCCCTCCCTGGCTGGCGGCAATAGCAGGTATTGGGACCTCCCCAGTGGCCCCGTGCTGAGAATCCACCTTCCAACGCAGGGGACGTGGGTTCAAACCCTGGTCAAGGAATTAAGACCCCACATGCCAACGGGGACAACTAAGCCCAGGACACAACGAGAAAGCCCACGTTTCTCTGGAGCAACTAGAGAAAGCCCAAGCGCCCCAAGGAAGACTCAGTACAGCCAAAAACATTAAAAAGAGGCAGGTGCTACTGTATCAAAAGAGGAGGCCCACAGAAGCATCAGAGGAAACCTGAGAGGTTTACCCCAATCTCTTCAAGAATCTGCTGCTGCTATCCTTGCCATAGCAATAAGGCTGACCTCCTTAGACAAAAAGACTATGGGAATTGTACCAGGCAATCACTGGGCAAGAGGAAAGGTTTTCTACAGCAGAATTTCTGACAGAATTCATGCCAGTTGGATTCACATGGTAAGAAAAGCTGTGCATATAGTCAGAAGAAAGTGCTTTTCAAGAGCAATATGATCTTGAAATAGAGCATTTTGACCCTCACCAGGAAGTTTAAAAGAGTTATGGGATCTAGAGTAGTGAGTAGCTGTTGGTGTTCATCCTATTATTCTGTACAGATAAAGACAGAACTATGGGGGACTTCCCTGGCAGTCCAGTGGCTAAGACTCCAAGCTTCCAATGCAGGGGGTGCGGGTTCAATTCCCTGTCAGAGAACTAAGATCCCACAAGCCTCAAGGTGTGGACAAAAATAATTAATACATAAAATATAAACGAACAAAAAATGAGAAAATTCTGAACAGAAAAATATATTTTTTTAAAAAAGATAGAAGTGTAGTGGTTCTGGTTGAGCCTTAACAAAGCAATTTTAGCATTAATAAAGACTGTCTTTAAAGATTTTTTTTTTTTTTTAAGAACATACTTCTGACCTTTAGCCATGGTACGAAAGGACAGCCCTCTCGTCAGCAGAACCTCTGGATCCCTGGCCCTGTGGGTCCACTCACCATTCATTTCCAGTCCTCTTCCTGCTGACAACACCTAACCCAGGTATGACTATGAGAATAAGATGAAATACAAGCTAAAGAATAACTGAAAAGCCAAAACTATTTTAAATTATAAGAAAGAAAGATCCTGGGTTTTTTTTATGTTCTCACTACCATAACAAAATTCATTTATAAAAACTGTTGAAGTTCTGTTTGAAACTCAAGAAGGGATATGGTCCACACACAATGCAGAAGGCAGCATCCTCTATCCACTTGTTGACAACACAATCCAAATAAAATGCAGTAGACAAAGAGTATGGGCTTCCCATGTAGCTCAGCTGGTAAAGAATCCAGCTGGATACTTGGGTTTGATCCCTGGGTTGGGAGGATCCTCTGGAGAAGGGAAAGGCTACTCACTCTAGTATTCTGGCCAGGAGAATTCCATGGACTGTATGGTCCACAGCATCGCAAAGAGTCAGATGCAAAGAATGACTTTTACTTTCTTCCAGACAAAGAGTTCCGAGTTTCCGAGGGATTACATTTCTTCCACAGCACCAAAGATAATCACCAGAAAGATAATTCAAACAAGGACAGGATTCATCCCTGCCAAATGCCTCAAGAGCATCTGGTACATTTTAGCCAAGGGTATAATAAACAACAACAGAAGTGTAACAATACCCCCACTTAAGAGTGGCCTCAGACAATAACAGTGCGGTCCCAACGGTGAATTCATCTGCGCCTGTACCTACCAGACAATGCCCCCAGGTCCACTGACGCTATGTAGCTTCAGAGAGCAAGTACAAACGGGGGTGGGGACCTTCTTCCCAAGACCCTCGCTGCAGGCTGGAGGGCCATCTCACCATGAAATGAGGACAGTCAGTCCCCTGATCCTTGGAATGGACTCTTCCTACTCAGAAGTGACAACTTCTGCCCAATATTTTGTGACTTTTTCAATCCATCTCATCATTTGCAAAGAATTGGACAAAAAACAGGATTTTTTTTAAAAAAGAAATAGTCCTTGTTTCTATTGGCTCTTTGGAGGTAGCCTTTATTATAAAACCTATCGTTTGTAAAACTGATTTTGGTTTAAGGTGCATTTAAATTTACTCCAGTAAAACATTCATAACTCAAAGAGGAAAGTGTTAGTCACTCAGTCGTGTCTGACTCTTTGCGATCCCACGGACTGTAGCCCGCCAGGCTCCTCTTTCCAGGGAATTCTCCAGGCAAGAATACTAAAGTGGGTTGCCATTCCCTTCTCCAGGGAATCTTCCCAACTCAGGGGGCGAACCCAGGCCTCCTGCACCACAAGCAGATTCTTTACTCTCTGAGCCACCAGGGAAGCCCCGCACAGAGATTAAACATCAGCAAGAACCCAAATCATGATTATTTTGGCTCATTGAGCTCAAGGCCAGCAACACTGTTTGGCATGGGTAAATGGGAACCAAAGTATTCTTCTTTGGCACCCCAACCCTAATAGTCATAGATGAACAGGCACTTGTTAGGAGGAGAAACCACTCCTATGAAGTACTAGAGCAGACAGTGCATTCTAGAATTCTAAAAGACAACCCAGGAATGGAACTCAAGGCTTCCTGGGACTTAATCCACCTTGCTCCTGTGAAGTCACGCTCCTTCCTGCTTAACTATAAAAAGGGGAGAGGGGAATTATTCATCTTTATTACTATAATAAATAGCAAATATCTGGTGTGACTCAGGATTAATAGAGCCCATTATAAAAATCTTTCATTATTGATACACTATATGATAGAAGCACATATATGGAACCAAGTTGACAATTTTGCAGATAAGAAAAGGCTTAAGATTGAATCCTAGAGTTGGGGGGTAAAGGAGAGTAGCTGCTAGATATGTTTATAATGTGATAAAAATCAGAATGCTAGTACATCTTTTAAAAGGTATTTATTTACCAAATATTTATTGACTACCTATTACATTCAAGGCAGGGACTAAGGTTCTGTGGTCAACTGGCACATCACTTCATCACATTTTTAATGCACTAAGAAAATAATTCATAGGCTTCCTCTTCAAAATGGCACTATGGGCTTGATGGATTGAGCTAAATGTATCCCCAGGAATTTATAAAAGGATGAAAGATAAAGGAAAGAATGAAAGAGGCATTTTTTTTTTTTAATAAACAGATGTTCACTGCCTGTTTTGCAAACACAATGTGACTAAGTCAATGGTACTTAAGATAGAACTTTCTGATTGGTATCCCAACCATTATGACATACCATAGTACATTTTATGATGGGCTTGTCTAAGCATCTATTTAGCAGCTGTTGGATTGCTTCGGTGGTTATTCTGTTTCAGATTTCCTTAAATTGTCTGCTCTGGGTTTCTCCATGAATGGGATAAGCAAGACCCATTGGGTCTGTAACCCAAATCCTCGCTGATATTTAGTAATTAGAGCTATGCGGCCAGAGCTCTCAGAGAATGCTGCAGCTGGAAGGGACTGGGCAATCATCTGGTCCCAGACTCTCAGAGCAGAGCTGGAGACAAAGGGCCCCAAGAAGGGAAAGGAGTCTCATAAGCGGTGTCACCCCAGGGCTCCTCACCTCTGCCCTGCGCTTCTCCACCTTCTGCCCCACAGTTTCCCATACATTTGTACTTCATGAGCCAGGAACACATTCCCCAAAACACTGGGAACCCTGCCCTTTTGTGTGCGTTGTCTGTGTATCACTCAGCTGTGTCTGACTCTGTGACCCCACAGACTGCAGCCCACCAGGCTCCTCTGGGGACCTTTCCAACCCAGGGATGGAACCCAGGCCTCCTCATTGTAGGCAGGTTCTTTACCATCTGAGGCACCATGGAAGCCCCATGACAACAATAACATTGGATAAATTAAGCTTTATAGACACACATAATCACACACACACACTACCATGTTCTTATTTCTTTTGTTTAACATCAGATAGGAAAACTTCATCAAAACCAAACCATGTCTATGAACCAGTGTTTGAGAACAACTGCTCTAGACAACATCTTGACTGGATTCTGGAGTCAACCATCGCCCCCTACCCCCCAACCCCTGTGTCCTCAATCCTACATACAACTAAGTCTATCTAGGCTTCCAAACTCGAAATCCTTGGTAAAACAAGTGTAGCTTTCCACCCAGAGAAGATGACCTCAGGAGAGGAAGAAGTCACGTTCAGAGAATATTCCCAAGCCTCACTCCACTCCCCAACCAAGAAGCTGAGAGACAGCTGGCATAGAATCCATTCAATGCGTCTACACGTCCAGCAGTCAGAGCCGGCTTCCTGGGAATGCACCCGCACAATCGCAATTGCCCTTCGCCCAGGCAGTTCACACTTGGCTTGATGATCTGGGTACGCTGTCTTGAAATTCTTAGTAATTTTTGAACAAAGAGCCCCAGAATTTTTGCACTTTGCCTCCATAAATTGTGGTCCTGCCTACAGGACAACCCTT